CAATATTTACTTTTTAAAATATCACTGTACATTGTGATATCTGTACCTGAAGCCAGTAGAGGGAAGCTGCCAGGTGTTTTGTGTGCATCACTCAGGAACATTTATGTTATGTGATTGTGTTGTGTGCTTTTCTTTGTAGCACAGTTGATATTTCAGCAGAAGAATTAGTAGAACCCCCCAGACAAAAAGTATTAGTGATGAGCTGGTGAATGTAGGGAGCATTTAGCAGTCGGTGGAGCCCAAAACTGAGCTCACAAAGGACTCAGACGTGCCAAATAGAAAGACACTCAACTCCAAATAAGACAATAATGTTGCTCCGTATGTCACCGATGTGTAAACAGGCAGCTGATTGCTAACTTGTTTGTCATTTCAGTTTCATAAGGTGATAATACCGCATGTGTTGTGTTTGTATCACAAGCATCTGCACGATAACGCTCCCAAAATGAAATGCAAACACCAGTTGGGTGATTCAAATTAGACATGAATAGATCCATGTTTAAGCCCTCGGTGCCATCTTCCTTTACAGTTCGAGCGTCACTATCTGGCCGTCAACACAGACACGTTGCTGGAAATTATCAAAAATAATCGTCTGATTTTCATATTTTGCTATCAGGCTGCTTCCTAGATGTCGGTGGGTGAGGAAGAAGGGATAATAGGAAAATCAGTTATCAGCCGTAGCTCTAGGGAACAAGGACTTCATTGTGTTTGAGGGTTTTTTTCTTCAGGCAGTAGGGAGCATGAATCATGTACACACACACACAGAGGAATAGCTTCTCTGTTTTAATTGAGGGGGATTTTCTGCTGAGTCACCCAGGAGTCGAGGAGCATAATCGGATAGGAGCCGGGTGGACGGTGGTCTCTCTCTCCTCTCCATGGTTGTATCGGAAGCAGGTTTGGAAACTGATTCTGCTGAGAACACAAGAGTTTTGTTGGATTGCGTCTGTAGTTTGCTGCGTTTTTTACTCTGAGGATTTGATCACTCAAAACAAAACACCCAGAATAAAAGCATTTCTGTAACGCTCCACTGAGCCGTCTCCTGTTGTAAGATACCCACTGTCATATAATTCTCTCTTAGAGCTGCAGGAATGGACACAATTCCCACTGTTGTGACGTTATATCATGGCTTCTAGTTCCTTCTAGGCCAGGAAACACTCTAATATTTAATGATTAATAATCTGCTTTTCCTTCAGTGTGTACACAACATGTTTGTGACGTTTCTTAAAAAGTTTTTCTTTGTACAAGTGTGATTATGTTTAGTTTCAGCTTTTGTTGTAGTGTTTTTCCCCTTGAAATTCCCCCTCTGTCTATTTACTGTGCAGTCTTATCACTGTATCCCAAAAGGTTCCTTGTTTGTCA